ACTGGATAAGTAATTTAATTATAGTTGATGTTTTAAGAGCATTGTGATTATCTATAGTTTCTGGAGAGTTAAAAGATATAGCAATTTTTATAAAAGTTTTCTAATAGAAAATACTTTGAAGGGATTATGGAAAAATATTTCTTTACATCTTTCTATTATCCACTCCTATGTTATATTTCCACAGGCCTTTAACATTTGTAACACTGTGCTAAATCTCTTCAAGTATGCTTTTAGATGCATTTTAAGCAATCTACTAACAGAATATCAAATATTCTCTATCAATTTTGAAAAACGTAGCAGGCATACTAGTCCTCTTGATGTGCATAACAGAACCAAACAATGAGAAAAACATGCTGATCTTTACCACTTCCCATGGTGGATATGCTAAATACACATACAAAAGATGATACTTTATCATGTTAGGTTCTTAAAACTACACTTCCACTGGTCACTTTTAGATTTTACAGGACTAACAGAAATTCCCTCATATTACTGTATCTTTTTTCTAGAATGCAAAACTGTTTCTTTTAACAACAATTGCAAATTGATGTAATTGTATACATTAGGTACAAAATGGATAAATTTAATAAATATAATATTTTAACTAATCTTCAACTTTCTGTTTGTGTTCATTCTTTCTTACAGCCTTAATACAGTTATGCTATTTATTACATCTAATTACAATAAAGTCATTGGTGTCTTATAATAAAAATTGTTTTATAAAATAATTTTTTCTTTCTTTAACAATTCTTGAAAAAAAAAAAAATGATGTTCTCAGTTTTACATATTACCAAAACAGGTGCTTATTAGCATCCATTAGATTTTAGCAAATATTAACTACTGAAAAACACTGAAATGCTGAGTTATTCTAATTACTTTTAATACATTCCCTAAACCTAACATTATCTAATATAAAAATTAAAAAAGAAAATTACAGTTAGAAAAAGACCAAACAAATAAAATCACAAAGAACTACTGCAATCAATACATTTACTATTGTTCTTTCTTTCATAACTAACTCTGATCATGTACTAAGAAAGCATTCTGATATAAGTTAAAAAAACAACTAAAAATATACCCTAACTATATGGCTTCATTTAAAGTTCAAGCAAAAAATTAAAAAATACCATAACTTATGAGAATGCTATACCTCTTTTACACTCAATGACAAGAAAATTAAATTGAATTATTCTATGTTATAATTTATAACAAACAAAAAGTAACTTTGCTACATGTCTAAAGTTAACAAAATACTTTTGTAAAGATTTCCTTTTTAATTTTCTGATGGAGTATTTGTATATTAGAAGCATTCTAACATGCAGTTTTTGAGATAAAACTTGTAACAAGCAAGTTACTATTAATACTAATAAATGCTTTAAAATACAGATAATTACAGATATGCTAGTATTAAGAAACAGGAATTATGCATACAAACCACCTTTTAATTAACTAAACATATAATGTTATATACGTATATATATATACCCATTATGATTCTCAGACATCCACACACTTTATCAGTCCATATTTTAACCAAAAGAATAACAGGTTTTAATAAAATACTGAAGTAAGCCAAAAACATTTAAAACAAGACTAAAACTATCAGGATTTGCATTAGTTTTACAGCATATATTTTTTAAACAATTATGTTAGATTTAACGCAATTTTCATGCATAAATCACAAAAACATTAAAATTGATAAAGAAGGTCAAAATATGACATATTTCTTAAAAAATTATATGTATGAATTTACAAAGACAAATGCAAGTTTATTTAAAGTTTACAATATAAACCTTCCTAAACTATGTTTTGATCTGACATTAAGAAAAGAAGGTAAAATTCATAATGAGGTTATATATATACATATATATACAAATAAACACAAATGATGATAGTGTGATTTTTCTTTTTCATCAGACCTATCTTTCTTAGGGTTTGACAAGTTTTATTCTGCACAATCAATTGAAGTGGTGTCTTAATAATTTCCTAAGATTTAAACAGAGTAACTAGGTAATATTTCCACCCTAACTTAGGAGTTTTTAAAACTAGTGCACTAGCTCAACTTCAATATTATTGTCTTTCACAATCGGTGACGAGGAACCCACTTTGAGACTAATAATGGCTGGAGACAGCTTGAATGGGTAATGAAGAAAAACTTTAATATAAGTTTAACATAACAGCA